ATTATTTGAAGACTAGAATATTGATTTTTAATTAATTTAAATAATTCATTTCAAGATTTTTCCCTTGACAGATTAATGCAGGGATTCCCAACCTATGGGCCACAGCCCATTACTGAGCCCCAGACTATTCACAACTGGGCCACATGAGTGGCAGGCTAGTGCACTTGCACACACAGCCCAACTCACATGAGCAGTGGGTGCCAGTGCTTACAGCCCAACTTGTGTGAGTTATGGATGACAGCGTTTGAAGCCCAATTCATGTGAACAGTGAGCACCGGTGCTCACAGGTCCACTCACATAAATGGTAGGTGTGCGCAGCCATCACTTGCAATAATGCTGTTCTCACACATACATGTGCACATGTCTGCCATTTGTCAAAAACCATCCCCACTCCATTCTGGGCAGCCAACCCAGAAAATTTGGGGAATGCTACAATAGTGCATATTTCTAAGAGCACTATGTACCATAAGGCTCTTAAATTAAAAATCAGGATATCACCCATATATTCCAGAGCTGAGATGGTTTGGATTTGTAACTATCTTTGGAGAAGTCAGATTTATGTAAGACAGAAATTAAACAACTGATGAAAATGGGTCGAAATGAGTCATCCTTTACTCCATATTAAACAAATATATTTTTGATGTATGTATGTATGTATGTATGTATGTATGTATGTATGTATGTATGTTATTCAGCTTTGTTTGGGTATTTTCCCATGTCATTATAGTTGTGCTTTTAAAGTTGTAACAATGTTTTGGCAGAATCTCATCTGCCATCATGGATTCTGCCAAAACATTGCTACAATTTTAAAAGCACAATTATAATGACGTGGGTAAATACCCAAACATAGCTGAATACCATACATATAAATACCTGCGAAAACTTAAGAATATATATAAGAATAATATAAAGTGCTACAAACCCTGAAAAGAGATAACAGCATAATCATACTCCCAGCAGACAAAGGGAATGCCACAGTAATAATGGACAGAAAAGACTATGAAACAAAATTGACCGACCTACTCCAAGACTCCACATACAAACCCATAAACACAGACCCAACCACATACCTGGAAAAATTAATCAAGAAGAAAATTATAACCAGCCACATGAGCAAAGAGATCCAACAGACAATCATCCCAAGAGAAAAATCTTCCAGATGCCCCAAACTATACAGCCTCCCAAAAATACACAAAGAAGGCATGCCTCTCAGACCCATAGTCAGCTCCAGAGGAGCACCACTACAAAACCTAGCCAAATACTTAGCAAAACAGCTACAGCCCCATGCTGAAACAGCAGCTTCACATGTACAAAACTCATACCACTTCTTGGAAATGATCAAAGATCTACATGTGGAGCAAGAAGATCTGCTTGTAAGTTTTGACGTGGTTTCACTATTCACTCAAGTCCCGATAAAAGAGACCCTTGAAATCATCAAAAATAAATACCAACCAGCTAAACACCTCATGAAACTAACAGAACACTGCTTAACCAAAACATATTTCATATACAAAGGACAAAGATACAAACAAATTGAAGGAGCCCCTATGGGATCACCACTGCCACCCGTCATTGCAAACCTTTTCATGGAAGAATTCGAATCCAGAGCCCTGGCCAACGCCATTCACAAACCCAAACTATGGTTAAGATACATTGATGACACATTTGTGATTTGGCCCCATGGAAAAGAAAACCTAAACAATTTCCTAACACACCTAAACAGCACACACCCCAAAATCAAGTTCACCATGAAACAGAAACAAACAACTACTATTCCTAGATGTACTAATCTACAAAAAAAAACAGATGGCACACTAGGACACAACGTATACCAGAAGAAAACACACACCAACCACTACCTCAACGCCCAATCCCACCACCACCCAGCACAGATAAACTCCGTGGCTAAAACACTAATTACTAGAACCAAACGCCTGGCAGACAAGATACACATTAAGACTGAACTATGCACCCTGACTAAGGTACTGACAGCCAACAGCTTCCACAAAAGCAAAATGACAGGCCTGATCCACAAAAACACACTGAGACATAATGGAGACCTAGAAGATGAACAGACCTATGGAACAGCTGTCCTGCCCTACATAAGAGCTACTACAGACAAAATCAGTAAGATACTACACAGGCATCACATCAAGACTGCTTTCAAAACAGACAGAAAAATAGCAGCCATCCTTAGAAACCCCAAAGATAAAATTGACCTGGAAAACCAAGACATATATGAAGTCCCCTGTGCATCATGCCCGGCCACATACATTGGACAGACCAATAGAAGAATAAGTACCCACCTGGAGGAACACAAAAATGCAGAAAAGAAGCTGGAATGCTCTTCCTCACTAGTCCAACACATGAAATCCACAGGTCATAGCATCAACTTCAATGGCACCAAAACCCTAGCCACTATAGAAAACCCCAGCTACAGAATTATCAGAGAAGTCATAGAGATTTAAAAAAGACCTGAAAGCATGAATAGAAGAGATGATTCCACCAGACTGTCAATTATTTGGAAGCCTGTACTCACAAACAAAAAAATCTCCAAACCAACACCTGGGCACAAACAGATCCCCCCTGATACCTCCACCTCAAACACACCCCAACCAGGCACCCAGATGAAATCTAGCTTCCTAACAAATGATAGCCGTCCATTTACTCAGAGCCAAGCTGCACTAAGAGCCTCCAATACAGGAACACAATGTTGCCAGCCAATCAAGACACACAAAAAAGCCACAAAACAGACAAAAAATATTAGAAACACCAATCAAGCAGAACACAGCAAACTCCAAGACCAAAAAACACAGACCAAGACTCCCAACCAGTCAGGATGAAGAAAAAACCATTCTGGCACAACAGTAGGCTAGCCCCAAATTTAGAACTGAAACAACTGTAAAAGTCTGACTCAGAGACGAATACAATACAAGAGCCTGATGATGGCAGATGAGATTCTGCCGAAATGTTGCTACAACTTTAAAAGCACAACTACAATGATGTGGGAAAATACCCGAACAAAGCTGAATACCATACATGTAAGTACCTGCGAAAACTTAAGAAAAATTTATATATATATATATATGTATGTATGTATGTATATGTGTGTGTGTGTGTGTGTGTGTGTGTGTTTTCTGAGGTTCTCACGGGTATTTGTATGTGGATCTTTGGTTATTCGGGCTTTCTCCCATGTAAAATTGGAAGTATCTAGGCAACGTTTCGATGAAGTCTCAACCCCCAAACCAATTAGAATACAGCCAAACCCCCTACCAATGAGAACACCCCCCCACATCAGAACACAGCAAAGCCCCCACCCAATCAAGTCACACCCCCACTAGCAGTTAAAAGGAAGAAGCAGCTACAAGCTCATATCACTCTGAGAAGCACAGAGCCGAAGACACAAGCCTGAAGATGATGAATGAGACTTCATTGAAACGTTGCCTAGATACTTCCAATCTTACATGGGAGAAAACCCAAATAACCAAAGATCCATATATATATACATATACATATACTATATATGTATAGTATTCAGCTTTGCTGTATACCTTACTTTGCTATAAGTACCCATGAAAACTTAAGAAAACATATATTTATATATATGTTACCTAATTAGAGTATAATGAAAAATTTGCAAGAAAACAAGCAATCTCAGAGTGCACGAAGGACTCCTCAAATATATTTTTATCAAACGTTTCCAAGAAAGATATCTTATTCACAACAGTTCCTATCATAAAGGTTTCTGATAAGAGTAAAGAGCCACAATCCATTGAAGACATCTCAGGTTTTTGCCATTTCTCCCCCATTTATAATATCAAAAGCCAATTTAAATTCTGCAGAAGGATTCTTTGTCCATGTCGTACATCTTTCAGTCAGGTGTTATAAAATCAAGTCTTCTCTGTCTGTTCATCTTCAATGATTTCCTCATTATCCAACCAATCCCTGAATTTATCACAGAGGTGCCTTGTGCAAAGCTTTCCCAATTAGGCTTAGGAAGCTAATGGAGTAATAATTAATTAGATCAAAGTGAGCCCTTTCTTATAAACCAGAACAATTACAGTCATATCAGTCTTCCGAAAATTATCCAGAGGAGTTAATAAATGTGATGAGGGCAGCCAAAATTGAGATCCACTAGTCAGCATTATTCTTTATCATTTTTGCAGGAGTACAATTTACAGCCAACAGCTTTGCCAGTCTTCAACTGGCCTGTCAACCTTTCACCTTCTGAGTTGCAGTAGGAAAACATCTTGGCAACTCTCCTTTGGTGGTGAATTTCCAAGTCATGACCCTGTTTAGAGTAGCTCCTCGGATCAATATCCACTCCCAGAATGTATGGTGAAGATATTACTTAATCTGCGTCATTGAAGTAGTTTTGTAGTTGTACACATCCTCCACCACAAAACAAAACCCTCATTGTATTAAAGGAATAGGATCTATTCCAGTTTTCATCCAGTTATTTAAAGAAAGTGAATTTCCATATTTTCCTTTACTAAAGACTTGTCAGGCTATTGGTAACTGACTGAACTGAACATATTTCGCCCCAAATTCTCAGAGTTCCATTTAAAAAGTACATTAAGTTTGAAAGAGTAGCAGCACACATTTTCCAGCAAGTGAATTAATGTTAAATCTCAAATCTCAAATGTATATTAAGACAGAGACTTTCTCAGTCAATTTTCCACAGTCCTAAGTAGGAAAGGAAGTTCTTTTTACTGACAACTGATATGTTAACTACTATTGCTGCTGTAACAGTTGCTTGAATGCTTATAGGTCTGAAAAGCAACAGTTACTGGTAATTTGGAACACATGTAAGTACAAAATTGGTTTGCAAAAGAAATATATGAAAACTAAAAATCTACACAAAAGGTCAGTGATAGTTGATTTCAAACTGTGCAGCTTTCCTGACATTAATGATTAGATATAGACTATTGTCCCAAAATTAATCTGGAGTTTATTTTGGCGGTCACAGTTCTGATTTCCTTTTAATGCTGATGATACAGGATCTGTGTGTATTCCGTGGCTGTTGCTGGGATCCTCAGAATGAAACACATGTACCTTGGTGCTACTTTTCAAAAAATCATGGGTACCAAGTTCAAGGAAGAATGTCAGATACAAATCCAGGTAAGCTGAAGAAGCCTAAACTCCAGACTTATTAGATATTTATAGATACAACATACTTAGCATGTAAATAAGGCAATGAACATAACATGTAAAATAAAAAGTATTTTCAGCATATGGATAACTTAATGTTTAATTTCTGTCTTACTAGTAAACTTAAAATCCGATAGATCAAGTATCTTCTTTGTTTCTGCACCACTTAATATGGGAAAGAGAAACAGCCATTCCTAAATTCTTAAACTTTGTGAGTTAGGAGGCTAAGTTAGCGTTTTGTTCATAACCATTTACTAGTTATTTGGGGTTTCAGGTTATTTTAGTTAGGAGGTAAGGTTAAAATTGAGAAGTTGTTTTTTACTATTTTTATCACTTCTAAACATAAAATTAATACATATAAAATAAATTATTTCTCAAGTATTTTATTATGCATTGTTTACTATGACTTTGTCTTGGACCATAAAGAAATAAATAAAAATAATTGTTAGTTAAGTGCCAGAAAGATGAGATATTAATGATTTATATGGATCTGAGAATCCACAAGTTGTGAGAGAACTAGGAAAGTATTTGAGAATATTTCTAGGACTTAAGCAGATCTTCCTTTTGTTTCATGTACAGATTCAGTTATTTATTTTTTAGAACCTACAGATTAAAGAAAAATCTTGGTCCAGTAACAAATTGAAGTCAGTGCAGTTTTTTCAATTATTCTGCAATTTATAAGTGGTTAAGTTCAATGCAGAAAATTCTTACAGCATTTTTCAGCCGCATCAGCTTCCATGCAGTGGAAAAGAGCAGTATAGAGGCTTCAGAATGAAGGATCAACTAAAAGGACTGCATAATACAGACACAGAGAGATTCAAAGCCTGTTTTGCTGTATAATTCTGACTGATTTTGGTCTAGAGGTTCACCCTAATCAACTCCTTTATTCAATTGTTATGTAAAAAAAGGATAGATGCTGGATTGAAAAATGCTTCAGATATGTTGAACACAGATTTAATCTAAAGGTCAGAATGGACAGAATGCTTTATCAGTAAACTGCATGCCTTATTCTCTCACTCTGCTTTGTCCTAATTGAGGAATACCTGGTATTCTTATAATTATTGTCAATACTGGAAGTAACACCCTTCCTTCCTTTCCTTCTTTCTTAGGATTTGAAGCTACTCTAATAAGACTACCTTCTCCATCCCTGTTTGGAAATGATATCGAAAAGCTTCACCTCACTGCAGAATATCAAACTGCACACCGATTCCATTTTAAGGTTAGAATGGTTTTTTTTAATGAAATATTTTCACACAGAAGATCAAGGAATGCAAGTGGGTGGCAAATAAACCTAATAGGCTTAAAATAATAATAATAATAATAATAATAATAATAATAATAATAATAATAA